GGCGCGAGCCCCCCCCTCGGGGTCACGCAGGTGCCCTTGGCGGGAAAGCGGCGGGCGTGGTGGTGCTGAACCTCTCCGCCGGCCCCAGCCCTGTGAGAGGAGGGGTTGGCTCCGCCTGGCTCTCCTGGGAGCCGCGGGGGGGGCCTGAGGTCGCGCCCCTCCCCCGCCCTGCTGCATATGTGTGTCTCTGGCCGGGAAGCAGCATGCGGCTGGCTGTCCCCCCTGCCCAGTGCTGCAGCAGGCGGGCTCCCTTCCTGCCTGGCAGCGAGCCCCGGCTGAGCCCCCGCCCGTCCGGGAGCGAGGGAGGCGGACGGGGGAAGGGAGACCGCACGCAGCACAAGTAGGGGAAAGGTCGCTGAGTGGCAGTCCCCAGTTCACCACGTTTGGCGGGCGCCTGGGACCAGACACTGATCACGCTTTGTTCACATGCCTCCGCCCAAACCTCGCCTCGGCCCTCCTCCAGCCAATCGGCTTCTGAGGTGCCTGACCGTGGGGACCAATGGGCGAGAAGCGGGGGTGGCACTGCGCGGTTTGAGCTCACGTAGGGAGAGAGTGAGTCACACAGAGGTTCAGTGAGGTGAGCGTGGCTCAGACCCAGCATCCGGCTGCCAGCGAGGATCTCCCTGCTCCTCTGCTGCCTCCCCTCTGAGCCACAGGCAGTTTTTCTCCCCTTCATTTGCTCAGTGATCATGTCTTGCTATAGGTTAATTCTTTGTAGAACCCAGCGAGGATATCTTTTCCCTAGCTGTGCTAGAGCCCGTTTTTGTTACTGAGGTTTTTTAATAGGACTTCCTCCATCTTCAGAATATTATTGTTCCATATTTTCTTGTACTTAAAACACTCAAAATCTGCAAACCGTAGGCCTTTAAAAAGTTATCTATAAAACCTTACCTGTCCTGCTCCTGCTCCTTAAAGCTTAATCAAACAGCTCCTGGAGTTTGGGCCTTGGAAAAAAACACTTTAAGCACAGCTTTCTGAGAGGAAAATTGTTCAGCTCAGGCACACAAATATCCATCTGTGCATCAGCACTCTAAAAATCAATAGTATCAGCAATGGGTTTCTTCATGGAGAGCCCAAAACACTCCTCACCCACCCTCCACCTACACAAAATAGTGTTTACCTAACTTTTTAATATTCCAATTATATGAGTGTGTGTATATATATATATACACCACACAAAGGAAAATAACAAGAACACCTTCCATATTATCTGGCAAGCTTTCTTTATCAGGTATTAAGTCAGTCAGATTTTGTGCCTCAACCTCAATATGGTCCCTTTTCTGTTTATGCAAACAAAAAAAATTAGATTTTACCTTACTTAAAATTCTTGCAGGATGGAATAAAGGAACAGCAAGTATCAGAGGGGTACCTGAGTTAGTCTGTATCTGCAAAAACAACAAGGGATAAATAACATTTATTGTGAGCACAAGCTTTCATGGTCAAAGACCCACTTTGTCAGATTCATCAGAGTAGAAATTACAGAGTCAGGCATAAATATACTAGCACATGAAAAGAAAGGAGTTATCTTATCAAGTGGAGGGCCAGTATTAACTGGGCTAATTCAGTCAGGGTGGATGTGGCCCACTCCCAACAGTTTAAGAGGTGTGAATACCAAGAGAGAGAAAAATGCTTTTGTAGTGAGCCATTTTTCTTCCCTTGGTACTCACACCTCCTCCTAAGCTAGACCAGGGATACTCGACTTTGGAAGCCCCAGGAGGCCACAGTGATACTCACAGCACATGCTGAGGGCCACAACTTAAGTGTGGTTAAATATATATGCAAATATCTTTCACACAATGCCCCAGCACCTCCTCCCTGGAGGCTAGAAATGCTGACGTCTGTTCTAAGGATCTTCAGGGGGTAGCCAAGTTAGTCTGTCTGTTCTAAGGATCTTCATGGGGTAGCCAAGTTAGTAGTCTATACAGGATAAACTTTATAAAAAAATCTGGTAGCACTTTATAGACTAACAAAACATGTAAATGGTATCTTGAGCTTTTGTGAGCCCAGCTCACTTCGTATCGGGTAACTGACTAATCGAATAGTTTGAGCTTTTGTGAGCCCAGCCCACTTCATATGGCGTAACTGACTAATCGAATAGTCAATACATTTTTGCATCGACTATTTGATTTAGTTGATAGGGCACATCCGCCTTTGAAGTATAGCAACAGCCCTAGGGCTATTGCTACACTTCAAAGGTGAAAGCGCCAAAGCCCAGGGTCAGCAAGCAAGGGAGAGGGGGAGAAGGGGACACATGACTTCCCTGCTGATCCTGGGCTCCGCATGGTGCTGCTGCTTTGAAATGCCGTGAGGAGTCCCATGCTGGGCTCCTTGTGGCATTTCAAAGCAGCAGCGCTGTGCAGAGTCCGGGATCAGTTGGAGTCCCCAGCTGATTCCGGGAGTCCAGGATCAGTTGGAGTCCCCAGCTGATTCCGGGCTCCACATGGCGCTGTTGCTTTGAAATGCCATGAGGAGCCTGACACTGGGCTTCCCATGGCATTCAAAGCGGCAGCACTGCATGGAGCAGCTGACCCAGGGTGCTGCTGCTTTGAAGTAGCCTCCTCTTCTCCCCTCCCTTGCAGCCTCTGATAGAGGCTGCAAGGGAGGGAAGGGACTAGTCAACTATCCTGTTGACTCATCCTTCACATCGCTAGTCTGTTCCAGCCAGCCCGTCCGCTTGCCTAGTCTGTTCCAGCCAGCCTGTCTGCTTGCATCTTTCAATGCTCACCTCACCTGGGAGACACCTCGCCATTGTGGAGAGTGTTCCTAGTGGAGGCCAAGTTCAAAGGATCCCACCTGCAGGCCGGGGGTTGAGCTTCGCATAAACCCAAACCACACTGCGGGCCACAAACAAACAGACTGCGGGACCATGTGGCCCATAGACCGCCTGTTGAGTAGCCCTGAACTAGGCAATTGTACAGACACAATATTAATCAGATTTCCTCTTTCATATTAACCTTTTTATGAAGGGTATTTAATATGGGAGGAAATGTAGAGTATCTTTTAAAATATTAAATCCATTCCATAAAGTATATGGTTTTACAGATTGCATTTAATTGTTATAATTGAAACTAGGAACTGTTAATTAACAGGAAGCTGAAAAATACTCATTTTTTTTCCTTTTAGGAGGAAAGAATAGAGATGATTACGGAGAAGCAAAATAATAATAAACGTTCCTGGAACAATACCACTGAAAAGAGTGATTTTGAAGCCGTAGAAGCCCTTATGTCTATGAGCTGCAACTGGAAATCAGACTTCAAAAAGTATTCTGAACTGAGACCTATAACACCAGCATCTGATATGTCAGAAGAAACTGATGATAACCTGCTACCTGGTGCAGCTGACTTTCATGCAATACCAGCATTTGTAAGCTTTATTCTATTATTGTGCATGCCATACATTTTTTAAAAATCTCACTAACTGAGAAATAATCATGAGGAATAGTTGTGTCATTGCTTGCATCTCTTTTTCCCTTTTTAGTGCTTGACTCCACCCTACAGCCCTTCTGATTTTGAGATGTCTCAAGTAATTCATCCATCAGCAGTAGCGTCATCTGCTGTACAATGCAGATCATTCTCTGATATTCCAAAGCCTGTTCCTTCAGCAGCTTTTAAAGAGTCTGGAAAGTCTCCAGCACCAAGACCAATGAAAGCTCAAGCAACAAGTGTTATTCGCCATACAGCTGATGCTCAGCTTTGTAATCACAAAACTTGTCCAGTGAGAGCAGCTAGTGTGTCAAAGTATCAGGACAGTACTTCAAGGGAAATAAATGCACAGAGTAGAATTGTAAAACAAAATCCACCTTGTGCAATTGTGTCACCAAACAGAGCAACTTCCATAAGTGACAAAGGGCCAGTTTTAGAAGAAAAAACAACACTAGCTGTCAGTCCATTGTCCCTGATCCAGACTTCATCCAGTAAACATGATCCCGTTCCTGGATCTGTACAACAATCATCAATGATAGTATCTTCACCTTCTGTACAAGCACCTTCTGTACAAGCGAGTGGTGTTTCACCTGTGCCAGTAATTTGCCAGATGGTTCCTCTGCCTACTAATAACTCTGTTATGACAGCAGTAGTGCCCAACTCTTCTTCTAGCCAACAGTCAACCCTTTGCCAGCCTATGGTGTTCATGGGAACTCAAGTTCCTAAAGGTGCTGTTATGTTTGTTGTGCCCCAGCCAGTTGTGCAGAACACAAAGGCTCCCACCATTAGTCCAAATGGCACTAGACTCTCTCCTATTGCTCCTGCTCCAGGTTTTACACCTTCTGTAGCCAAAATCACTCCATCAATTGACTCATCAAGAATAAGAAGTCATATTTGCAACTATCCAGGATGTGGAAAGACTTATTTCAAGAGCTCCCATTTGAAGGCCCATGTGAGAACACATACAGGTAGGTCATTAATCAGTGAATAGTAGGAATGCCAAAGAAAGACTTTCATGTATATTTATGATAATGTTGATCGATGTTCTAGTGTGTTCTGATATTGTTCATGTTTTGCTGCTTTCCAGAGGTGAAAGACTAGTTAACTAATCATTTCTACAGCTGGCTTCGGTAATGGTGATGTGTCTAGTTACCCCAATCAAAGCTATTTTAACATTGTACAGCTATATTTTTTTCTTTTTTTGTCTTCACTGAACACTGTCTGGTATCGTGGAAAATATTGTGGGGCAGTCTCAGAGTGCCATTGCTTGCTTTTGCCAGCATGGCTATTACATGGCATAATCTTTGGTAGGATGCTTCAAAAAGGACAGATGACTTGCCTTCTTGCCTTCAATGTTAACACCCCAAAGAATTGTTCATTCAGGTTTCTGGCAGTTCTTAAGATTCGCTACTAGATTATTTTTTTTTATCACACTAGGAAAGGATAGAGAGCTACGTATGTTTACACAGTACATTTCAGTCTTGTCATGCAACATCCTTCCTGCTTATAGTATACATTGCATTTCAGCAGCGGATGCTAATCATGCAAAGCTGTCATGGTTTTAAGCACAAGCTGTATTCTGCTTTCCAGTGATGAAAGGCTAGTGCATTGATCCTGTTTACAGCTGGCTACCTGGTGATGGTAATCCTTGGAGTTAGCACAGTCAAAACCATCTTAATATTGTACATCTCTGCTTTTGTTTCCTTTGTCTTGGCTGACATAGTAGAAATTGGTTCTAAAAATGTTGGACAAATATTACCAGTCAAAAGCAAAATTGTTGCTAAATAAATGTTCATATCTCTATTTTGTTTTAGGAGAAAAGCCCTTTAGCTGTAGTTGGAAAGGCTGTGACAGGAGATTTGCACGGTCTGATGAACTGTCACGGCATCGCAGGACACATACTGGTGAGAAGAAATTTGCTTGCCCAATGTGTGATCGGCGGTTCATGAGGAGTGACCATTTAACAAAGCATGCACGGCGGCATTTGTCAGCTAAGAAGCTACCAAACTGGCAAATGGAAGTAAGCAAGCTAAACGACATTGGTGTGCCACCTGCATCCATACCTACACAGTGAAAGAACTCCTGAATTTACCAGAACTAACTTGTTATTATGGTATACCACCAGGGATGTATAAAAGCTTCTACTTCAGGTCTGTAGTTCTTCAGTGCCATCTGTTGATGGCATTACAGCAGAGAGGCAAAGGTAGTCTGTGCTTGGTCACAGGAATGCTACTGAGAGAACCAGTGACTAACAATGGAATGTCAGGTTTCTTTTCAACGTGGTGAAAAGAAAAGAGGTTGAAGGTTGGAGAACAGAGCAGCACAGGTAGTGAAGGGTTTTGAATTTATGCAGATTATTTGTCATTTATGCAGATTATAAATCATGCAGAGCTGCTGGCTGATGTTAATTCTTGAAACCATCTGAAATTACAGTTTTCAAAGATGTAATGAGTTTTCAGTAGAGCACAAACTAGAGACAAATATCAGTGTATGGTACAGATGTATAGATCAGGAATGCATCTGAACTAGATAGTATAAAAACGATTATCCTATTGCTATCACCTTTCCTTGATAGGATTTTTTTTTCTGTTCACACTGTGGCCCAATCTTGAGAGATGGGCATTGAGGCTCAACAACTATTGATACATTAAATACTGTATCAAGTATGTCACTCATGCCAGTTTTACATTACTGTCCAAATATGGAATAGATTGCGTGCTGACATGTGGCCAAAGAGAGCCAAAAGTACCTGAATCCTGAATAATTTATTATAATAGAGAGTGCTAGTACTATTTTTGCTATTCCTTTTGAAAGCTCATGATGATTATAATTGGTTATATTTAATTATCTTATGATGCCTTTGCTTTCAAATTACTTATGGATTCCTTTATACCTTTCAAAACTCCATACTACTGCATTTTTCATAAACACAGACAGTATGTTTTAAAATGTAACCATAAGAATAAATATGAGTTTATTAAAAAGGAAAGAACAAGAATGTTATGCTAGGTTACTTAATGTAGAGGTCACTTTTGAAGATAATTTCTATTAAAGATAAATGGTCTTGATGTAATGAGGGTATAATCTATACTGTATTCATTTAGAAAGTTAGGAGTTATTTATAAAGTGAAATAAGGCAGTAAAAGCACCAGTCTGGAATTAATACTGTAGATTTTGTGACATAATGCATCAGCGTTCACTAACTATATTTCCATTGTATCTCATTATGCTGAGTACATAAATATAGACAACAGTTGGATAATAGTGTGCTAGATACTACTCTTTTGTGACTACTTTAAAATTTTGCACAGTACTTTTTATGTTGTACTTTATACCTTTGTTTACAATAAATAACAGTTTTAATACAGATCTGTGTGATCCATGTTGATTGGGTTTATTTGCTTACAAAACATTAAAAGCCAGTGCAACAAATGCATCAGCATTAATCTTGATAAGTGATAAATTCAGTATTGTTGCCCTCTTATTTGTAAACCTTGTAAAACTCACTTGAATTGACTATACAGTTAAGCATGCTATTACTTCTATAAGCTTTCTTTTGTGCCCTCTTTTTCCAGTGCACTCTTACTCCATACTAACTGTCTCTATAAGGAGTTATACCAATATAACTGCAGCATTAAAACTGCATTTCTGTTAATACATTTCCCAATGTAGACCAGCCCTGAGGACATTAACCAAAATCTGGCTCTCATAAATCAGGTTCAGAGACCTGGATGCACAAAAGGAGATAGGTACCTAGTTTTGGTTTCAGATACTAAAGTCTAGGGATGTTAACGGGTAACTGGTAAATATCCTTACCAGGTGATGCTTACTGGTTGACCAATGACTCAGCTGGGCTGGAGCAGTCCAAGGCGGGTGGGGGGCTGTTCCAGCCCGGCTGTGCACATCATACTGCATAAACACTGAGACAATATGCCTGCCGCATTGTGGGCAGACTCAGCCTGGCAGAGGCTGCTCCAGCCCAGCTGTGCCACTCCACAGCCCCCACCTGCGGTATCATGGTTAGCTGGTTAAACAGAATGTTTAGCATTTGATTTAACCAGTTAACTTTTTAACCAGGATTTTACATCTCTATTAAAGATATCCAGCTACACTAATTAATAACAGTGATAACTACAAACTCTCTGTACTACCAAAAACAACTACAACACTAAGCTTATACAACAAAGAAAATCAAATCATACATACCAACTTACACAGCACACGGAACATTTCAAAGATATCAGTTCGGTTGCGAAGGCCTTGATTACGCCCGAGAGTCGGGGGAGGTGGCTGGTAGGTTGATCAGGCCGGCAGCGCTTTGGAGTATACGGGAAGGCACACGCACGGTGGTACGTGTGTTGCGAAGACCTCCTCGAGGGAACTGTACGATGGGTATTTATCCCCAAATCTGCACATCGCTTTCCCGTGCTTGCATATTACCATATGGCCCAATGGTCACCAAGTGGGAGGTCTGTGTCCCAGGGGTTGGGCCGAAACTGTGCAGGTTTCATGCGACCAGGTAAGCCCCTCAGTTCTCACACCAAGGTGACGGGTGGGAGAGTCTGAGGCTATTTTCCCCTTTTCACACCTTCCCTTTTTCTAAAGGCAATGGT